TGATGGCGCCTCTCGTGAAGACTAGGCCAGCCGACACATTTCCAATCCAAGCTTTAAGCAATTAAACAATAAGCATTACGTCTAAAACATGATATAAACTCAGAAGTAACAATGACAATTCAAAACAATTCGCGGAATACAACCCAACTCAGCCCGATACCGGCGTGTCACTAGTCATGAGCATCTACTAAGTCTAAATACAACTGACAAAGTCTGAAATGTACTCAGTACAGTCTAATAGAATGAAGAGAGAGAAAGCAGTACTGCGAACGTCGGCAGCTACCTTGCTAAACTCCGACGACTCTGCCTCCGATCAATCAATACCCGCTACCGGGTCCAGAAAATACCTGAATCTGCACACAAGGTGCAGGGAGTAAAGTGAGTACTCCAACTCAGTGAGTAATAATCATAACTAAAGTCTGAATGGTAAGAAATCACGAAAAGTGCATCAACATGCTGTATAGAAGCAGTTCAAAAACCAGTAAGAAAGCCATGAAGCCGTAAAATCCCTCAAAACATCTTAGCTCAGTTTAAACTTCTTTGAAAATAACTTTCTCAACAGTTGCGCAAATGAATGCAAAACAACTAGTGCAGATAAGCACAGAAATCCGCCCCTCTGGCACAATTACACAATTTAAGCAGGTAAATGACAGGCAAATAAGAAAGATAAGCACATAAGGTTCGCCCCTCGGGCACAATGTCAACAAATCCGCCCCTCGGGCAATATCTCAGAACAGAACTAGCCCCTCGGGCAATCAAATAGAACAATACCAGCCTCTCGGGCAATCACATAGAACAACATCAGCCCCTCGGGCTATATCTCACATCACAATGGGTACCCACGCTCACTGGGGGTGTGCAAACTCCTGGAGGGGCCCCTTAAGGCCCAATCGCAATAACAAGCCATCTCGTGGCACATCAAATATACGCCCTCGGCCTCAAATCAATCAAGCTACCTCGTGGCGTACATATCTCAGGCCCTCAGCCTCAAATCAGTATCAGTGTATCACCGCTGCAGCGTGCAGCCCGACCCAAAAGATATCTCACAACACAGGCCCTCGGCCTTACTCAGTCAAAAATCACATAAGCCTCTCGGGCAACAGTAAAACAGTGTTTCTCAGCCCAAAACATCATTTAAATATCATTTGAGTATTAAAATTGAGTGAACATGACTGAGTTTTGAAAACAGTGGAAAATAACATGACTGAGTTCAAGTATAAAGTCAAAACAGTGAGGAAATATCAACAAAGATCCCCGAAGGGTTCAAATAGTTTGCATGAAGCCCAAATATGGCATACAGCCCAAATAATAATGATAACAAATAGATTTCAGTAAAATACGCGGTAAAATCATCAATCGGGACGGACCAAGTCGCAGTCCCCAATAGTGCACGACCCCACGCTCGTCATCAAGCGTGTGTCTCACCTCAATATAGCACTACGATGTGCAATCCGGGGTTTCAAACCCTCAGAACATCATTTACAATCATTACTCACCTCGAACCGGCTATATCTCTAGCTCGCGACGCCTTTTCCCCTCGAATCGGCCTCCACGCGCGTTGAATCTATCTAAAATCAGAACGAGGGCATCAAAATATGCTAAGGGAACAAAGCCCAAGCGAAAACAATCAATAAAGGGCACAAATCTCGAAATTACCAAAACCCGACCCCCGGGCCCACATCTCGAAACTCAGAAGTTTTCACATCAGTAGATTCCTCATCTCCCCACGAGTTCATACATATCAAGAATACTAAAATCGGAGTCCAAATCACCCCTCAAATCCTCATTCAAAGGCCTCTTAAACTCAAGCCCTAATCCTCCATTTTTAGCCCTTTAATTCCTTTAATTGCAGCCTTAATCCATGAAATACTACCATAGAAATGTGTTTTAGGTCCAAAAATCCTTACCTTAACGAAGTCTCCTTGATTTCTCTCTTCAAAATCGCCCAAAAGCTCCCAAGCCGAAGTCAAAAATGGTGAAAACCTTCAAAAATCGCGAAGGAAGACTTGTATACATTCTGCCTAGAGATACCCGCATCTGCAGTCAAAAATCCGCTTTTGTGGTACTGCATTTGCGGTCTAAAGCTCCGCTTCTACGGAATTCACTTACTCAGCCTATACCGCTTCTGCGACTAAACTTTCGCATCTGCGGTAGCGCAGATGCGGTCACCATACCGCTTCTGCGGTCTCTGCACGTCTGGCCCTTTTTCGCTTCTGCGATAAATCACCCGCATCTGCGGCGCCGCATCTGCGGTCCCCAATTCGCAGATGCGAAAATACCAGAAGCAGCAATATCAGCTGCTGCAACAAAATTCCAGCCTCTCCGTTAACCATCCGAAATCACCCCGAGGCCCCCGGGACCTCAACCATAGGCTCCAACATGTCCCAATACCTTATACAAACTTGCTCCAATCATCAAAAACACTTCAAACAACATCAAATCAACTAAAATACCTCGGATTCAAGCCTAAGTTTCTAAAATCTTCTGAATTTTGCTTTTGATCAGAAATCCAACCAAGCCACGTCCGAATGACCGGAAAATTTGCACACACATCTCAAATGACATAACGAAGCTACTGCAACTCTCGGAATTCCATTCCGACCCCTAGATCAAAATCTCGCCTATCAACCGGAATTCGCCAAAATATCAACTTCGCCAATTCAAGCCTAAACCTTCCACGGACTTCCAAAACGCATTCCGATCACGCTGCTAAATTCCAAATCACCTAACGGAGCTAACCAAATCCTAAGAATTCCAATCCGAGGTCATATGCAAACAAGTCAAATCTTGGTCAAGCCTTTCAAATTTCAAGCTTCCAGCTGGGAACTGTTCCTCCAAATTCATTCCGATTGCCCTGAAACCGAAACCAACGATTTACATAAGTCATAATGCATCACACGGAGCAAGTCATGCCCGAGAACTGGCGAGCAAAGTGCAAAAGCTCTAAACGAGCGGTCGGGTCGTTACAAGAACATATTGTTACTACATCTACCGAGCAATCGTCGTGCGCACACGTACGTTTTATGACTCTTTCTTTCTTTTAATTATAGAAGTAAATCCCATGATTAGCTTAAACAACCGTCCTTGATCTGATCTGTTTCGGGAGTTCCGCGGTGATCTTCGACCGGTTACAGATATCTCGCCTTTCCGTTATTGCGCTTCGTTCGAAGTCTATTATATATGGTCTCGATCGTTGTTAGCCTCGATCTCGACGAGAACCTCGAGTCTCGAGTCTGATACCTCATCTTCGTCCCCAGTTTGTTTTGACCCAACAGATCTCACTGACTTATCGTTTGGGCTACGCCATCATTGAGCACAAAAACGAATGTACCCTGTAAAGCTGTATTATATCTTATAAAACTCTTTATTTTATCACTTCCATTTTGATAAAATTTGCATAAAATGACATGTGCATCCCTTCATCACACGCTTTGTCAGTTTAGAAGCATGTCAATCTTAACCCGTAGTTGTTAGCCGACATGGGCGTCACATGGACAACTTGTTTGGACTGATTTCTTTTAAAACTCTTCACCTACCTGCTAATGATAGGATATAAAGTATAAAAAGCCACGTTTGGTTTTTTTTATTACAATTAACGCATATTAAAGGATATTATGCTCAGCACTTATCTAAAATGAAGTTTGACAATCTAAATACCCAATATAGTGGGACCACTTAATCTAATATAACCAACCAATAGAATAAAATGAAATGATAGTACGCTTCCTTTGAAGCACAATTATTGATAATTTTACTATAATGTTTTGTCTTTGTGATTCGGTTAATCACTGGTAGAGTTTAAAAGTGAAATGTATGCTTTGGATCTATCTGTTTGTGAAGTCCTGCAAAACTAATGAGTTACGTATCGCGTGTTATGCTAAAAAATTTCAACTATATTACACGATATTACACGCATAATATATTTTTAGAAATAGTTTAAATACAATATATTTTTTATATAAAGAGAGCAAATACACATCTTCACTACCTTTACACTTATATGTATATCTTCCGCAAATAATTATGTGCTTTCTTGGAGCATTAAGAGTGGAGTTAGAAAAAGTCAATACCTTCTTAATTTTTTAAAATGACAAATAAAAAAAGTGGAGAAAGTACTTAATTGAAACTTATGCGTAACCAAATACTATCACATATGGAACAAGTCAACAACATATAAAAGTATCAATAATGAAGGGACAAAATTTTAGCCAGATCTTAATCATTTGTTTGAAATTTAACCACCCTAATTAAATACTCCCTCTTGTCCATATTATTTAGTGTTTTTTTCCTTTGCCACGCCATTTAATAGACTACTTATTCCTAAAACTTAAGAAGAATGTTGACTATATTATCCTTAATTAAAATTGCATATTTCAAAGCTAATAAGTATAAAGAGCATAGGAATTTGTTTTTTTTCACGTTGGAAGTATAAAAATCAAGGGCAAATTTGTAAACATAAAATTAAAACCTTCTTGATTATGTAAAACACCATTACTTTGGACGAAAATAAAGATGTAAAAACATCCAATAATAACGGTCTGAGGGAATAGTTATTGAGATATTATTTTTAATTATCTTTGTAACCACAGTTAGTAGTTATTTGTAATCATAGTTAGGTGAGTTAGTTGATTAGCTTAGTCAGATTGTTAGCTCACTAATACGTTGCTAGTTAGCTTAACAAAATGTATATACATATACTCTGTATTTTTCTTTTCCTCAATTAATCAGAAATCATTTTTCCCTCTTCTCCCACCTTTCTCTCATTCTCTCTTTGAGAAACTTCTGCAGATCCACCATTGGAGCTCAAGCTTGAGCTCCACCATTTTTACTTCTTTCTCAAACTTAACATGGTATCAGAGCGAGGTATTCTACTCGCTATTCTCTTCTCAATTTCCTCTAAATTCTAAAAACACAATCACCGCCTTCATCTCGCCCCAATTTTCCAGATCCGACATTCTCTTCTCATTTCTTCACTTTTTGACAAGCTATTGCGATCTCTCATGGCGATCCTTGATCCAAACAATGAAACTGAGGCTCAGCCGGACAGACCTACTCCCGTCGCCGGCGTCGATCCTAGAATCAATTTGAGTTGTCCTTTCTACATGCATCCGTCAGATAATCCAGGTGCAATGTTGGTTACGACTCTGTTCAGCGGGATTGGTTACAGATCCTGGAGGAGAAGTGTCCTTAGGGCTTTATCGGTCAAAAATAAGGTAGGATTTATCACTGGAGAATATAAGCGACCAGACCTAGATTCCCCACAATTTCGTCAATGGGAGAGGTGTGATGATATGGTAACCTCTTGGATTCTCAATTCTCTATGCAAAGATATCGCTGACAGTGTGGAATATGCTAATAATGCCTTTGAGTTGTGGAGAGAGTTAGAGGACAGGTACGATCAGACAAATGGTACTAAGTTGTACCAAATCCAAAAGGAAATTAACGATTTGTCCCAAGGTGTGCTTGATATTACTGGGTATTATACGAAGATGAAGAAACTTTGGGAGGAATTGAACATGATAAGTGCTAAATCGCAGTGCACCTGCCAATGTACATGCGGAGCTAAGGAAAATATGCACAAATCTGAGCAAGACAGAAGACTCATCCAATTCCTTATGGGATTGAACGAGGTATACACCACAGTGCGGGGCAGCATACTCATGATGAATCCTTTACCATCCATGGCACAGGCTTTTTCCCTGCTCATTTAAGAGGAAAAACAAAGAAAGGTCAAACCGCAGGGCCAACTTATGATGGAGTCTGTTTCTCTAAATGCCAATGTTCCCTCACATAGCAACTTGAACAGGGCACCTATGCATAACAATAATTTCAGAACAAATTACTCTCCAAATAACCACTCCTCTACTAGTAGACCTCGTCCCTTTTGTGATCACTGCAAGCGCGCTGGTCACACCAGAGACAAATGCTTCAAGCTCCACGGTTACCCTCAAGATTTTAACCACAATCCTAAGTATCAAAAGGTCAAGAGAACTGCAGCAAATGTACATGGGACTCCAATTGACAATTACCCTGTGAATACTGAGGAAATGCAGCCCCAAAGCAACCACTCTAATGTCAGCCTTACCAAAGAACAATATGGCCAATTGGTGTCTTTGCTCCAACACTTTTAGACTGGGTCTGGTGGAGATAGTCCAGATAACAATACTATTGGTGGAAATGCAAATTTTGCAGGTATTTTCGCTTGTTCTATATCTGTTCTCTCTGTTGATTTTGGATTGTTGTCATGTAAATGCCTTAAATCAAGAGCTGATATTTGGATTCTAGATTCAGGGGCTTCTAACCATATGACCTTCAACAAATCTTTACTTACTCAAATTAAAACCTTAGTGTACCCTATGTTGATCACTTTACCAAATGGCTATAGAGTCAAAGTCACTGAAATTGGAACAGTCACCCTTGCACCAAATATTACATTGCATAGAGTCCTGTATGTCCCTTCTTTCAAGTACAACCTTATTTCAATACATTCTTTAGCATCTCATTTTAAAGGTTTAGTAGCCTTCTCTGACTTTCTATGTCTGCTACAGGCCCCTTCAATGAAGAGGCCTCTGGAGATTGGTAAAGTCAAGGATGGTTTGTATCTCCTGTGTTCAAATTGCCTGAAGAACTCTTGCTCAAAGGACTCTTGCTCAGTTTCTCCTGTTCCTTTACTTCTTTCTAATTCTGCTTTGTCTAAAAAATTTGATGTAAATAGATTGCACTGTCAACACTCTGATTCACCTGTAAATGTCTCCACCTGCAATTCACACTCAATTGTAAATAGTTCCATTGATAATAAAACTCAGTGCATTTCATCACATTCTTTCCTGTCTAATATGGATCAAGTTGACCTACTGTGGCACTTTAGATTGGGACATGTTCCTTTTGTCAAAATGAAAGAGATATCCTCCATTCCTGTTAGATTTTCAAATAGACAACCTTTTCTTTGCACCATTTGTCCCATGGCCAGGCAACCCAAACTAGCTTTCCCTCACAGAACCAGTACTACAACCTCTCTTTTTGAACTTATTCATGTAGACCTCTGGGGACCCTACAATGTGGCCACTCATGACAAGTACAAATACTTTCTCACCCTAGTGGATGACTATAGCAGAGCCACCTGGACTCACCTCTTAACCAATAAGAGCAATACATTGCAAGTTGTCAAAGGGTTCATATCACTAGTTGAAACCCATTTCAAAGCAAACATAAAGTATATTAGGTCAGACAATGGCTCAGAATTTCTAAATGCAGAAACCTCATCTTTCTTCCAGTCAAAAGGGATTATCCATCAGAGAACATGTCCCTACACTCCTCAACAAAATGGGGTCGTGAAAAGAAAGCATAGGTACCTTTTGGAAACTGCCAGGGCACTTCTTTTTCAATCTAAATTACCCTTACAATATTGGGGTGAATGTATCCTAGCTGCCACCCATATTATCAACAGACTCCCTACCACTTATCTAAGAAGTAAATGCCCAATTGAAGTCCTCTATAACAAAAAACCAACCTATTCTCACCTCAGAAGCTTTGGTTGTCTATGTTTCCCTACTATACCCAAGATTCATAGAAATAAATTTGAGCCTAGAACCACTCCCCATGTTTTTGTGGGATATCCTTATGAGACAAAGGGTATAAAGTCCTTAATTTGGCCACTAAGAAGATTCATATTTCAAGGGATGTAATTTTTCATGAGCATATTTTCCCCTTTGCTATTGTATCTGATTCCTCTCCTCATTTTCCTCCAGTCATTCACCCCACTACTCAGGACATACCACTCCCTGAGGTACAACTTGATACTCACAACTATCCTGACATTCACACTTCCCAATCATCAACAGATAATGTTGATGTCCCCTCTCTTGCCTCACCTATAGACAACTCACATATGCATTCTCCCTGTAATCCATCACAAACTACTCTTCCACCTTCTCCATCTTCTCCTGAAGTCAGTCAAGTGCCTAGGAGATCCACTAGAGAACATCACTTACCAGTGCATTTGAAAGATTATGTGTGCTCCATGCCTAAACTACATCCTGACACACACCCTGTACCTGCCCCAACACATTATGCAACCACATCCTCTCCAGATTCCCTTCTTTCTCTTAGTGCCTCTTTTTTCAAGCACCACCATGTTCTCTTCACCTCTCTAGTTCCTAATAGTCAGCATCTTGTGGAAAGTATTTGCCATGACAATGAGCCAAGTTCTTATGAGGAAGCAGCTTTACATCCAGCATGGCAGGAAGCCATGACATTAGAGTTTGAGGCTCTCCATGCTAATCAGACCTGGGATTTAGTTCCTCTGCCTCCAGGCAAGAGGTCAATAGGCTGTAGATGGGTATATAAGGTCAAGCACAAAGATGATGGTAGTGTTGAGAGATTCAAGGCTAGATTAGTGGTGAAGGGGTATACTCAGCAGGCTGGTATTGATTACACTGAGGCCTTCTCTCCAGTTGTGAAAATGACCACCATCAGGGCACTAATTGCAACTGCAATAAAGAAACATTGGGGGATTTTTCAGCTTGATGTGAATAATGCTTTCCTCCATGGAGATCTCCATGAAGAAGTGTATATGGATCTCCCCCCTGGTCTATTGGTTGATACACCAAGTTTAGTGTGTAAGTTGAACAAATCATTATATGGCTTGAAACAGGCCAGTCGACAGTGGTATGCTAAACTAGCTGAGGCTTTGTGTTCCAAAGGATATGTCCACTCTCTTAATGATTACTCCCTGTTTTACAAAAAGACTGACTCCTCTGTTATCTTTGTTGCTGTTTACGTTGATGATGTAATCATTACAGGTAATAACTCAAAGGAAGTCTCTTTGCTGAAAACCTTTATACATGCTCAGTTTAAGATCAAGGACTTGGGAAGGTTACATTATTTCCTAGGTCTATAAGTCTTGTACAAGGATGATGGTGCTATAATCTCCCAAAGGAAATTTGCACTTGATCTACTGAAGGAATATGAGTGTCTCCATTGTACTCCATTCAATTCACCATTGGATCCCACTGTTAAGCTGAAGGCTAAGGAAGGTATGCCTCTGACAGATCCTTCCTTCTATAGGACTCTGATAGGTAAATTGAATTTACTGACCAATACAAGACTTGACATTGCATATAGTGTGCAACATCTTAGCCAATTTATGCAAGACCCCAGGGAACCTCACTTAAAGGCTGCTTATCATTTACTTAGATATTTGAAGACTGATCCTACTCTTGGAGTTTTCATGTCTACCAGTTCTGATTGTTCTGTTAAAGGGTATTGTGATCCTGATTGGGCAGCTTGCCCAGATTCTAGGAAGTCTGTTACTGGATATCTGGTGCTTCTTGGTGATAGTCCTATCTGCTGGAAATCTAAGAAACAGGCCACAATATCCCTCTCTTCTGCTGAAGCTGAATATAGAGCCCTAAGGAATGTTGTTGGTGAGCTTACATGGTTGTGCAGATTATTTGATGAATTAACTGTCCAGTTCCCTAAACCTGTCCCAGTATTTTGTGATAGCCAATCAGCTCTACACATTGCCCGCTATCCTGTATTTCACGAGCGTACAAAACACATTGAGGTCGATTGCCATTTTGTGAGAGATAAACTACAAGAAGGCTTAGTCTCTCTTCATCATGTGGGAACTGATTGCCAGCTAGCTGATGTCCTCACTAAGGCACTTACAGGAATCAAGCATGCTACAGTTATGAGCAAGTTGGCAGTGATACCTTCACTTCCAACTTGAGGGGGGGTATTGAGATATTATTTTTAATTATCTTTGTAACCACAGTTAGTAGTTATTTGTAATCACAGTTAGGTGAGTTAGTTGATTAGCTTAGTCAGATTGTTAGCTCACTAATACGTTGCTAGTTAGCTTAACAAAATGTATATACATATACTCTGTATTTTTCTTTTCCTCAATTAATCAGAAATCATTTTTCCCTCTTCTCCCACCTTTCTCTCATTCTCTCTTCGAGAAACTTCTGCAGATCCACCATTGGAGCTGAAGCTTGAGCTCCACCATTTTGTATCTATCCCAAGATAGAAAAATGGAACTATATACGTGGCCATGTGGCTAAGGAACCCCACTTGTACAATGTCTAATACATATATTTTTGAATATATCTAGTTGCAATTGACAAATAGGATTCTTGTTTGATAATTCAAATGAGTAGGAAGAACATATTGTTACTACATTTACCGAGCAATCGTCGTGCGCACACGTACGTTTTATGACTCTTTCTTTCTGTGTGTTGTATGTATATAAAACGAGGTATCTTTTCATATTTTATATGGCAACCGTCGTGCGCACACGTACGTTTTATGACTCTTTCTTTGTGTGTGTTGAATGTATAAAACGAGGAAACTTGTCATATTTTATGCCAACAAATAGTTCACTTCCTCTGGATGTTAACTGGAATATTTCCAATAATAAATTGTGGTACTAGCGGAGTGATATTTCTCTTCACCTGTCCCGGCTATCCCTACATACATAAAAAAAAAAAAAAAAAAAAAAATAATAATAATAATAATAATAATAATAATAATAATAATAACAATAATAATAATAATAATAACAATAATAAATTGTGCAGAGTAACATTTTTCATATGCCATTTTCCATAAAATGGAGCATTTTTAACTCTATATAAGGAGTTTTATATCTTTGCATTTATCCCAACATATAAGAATGGAACTTCCCATCCTTTCCATCTTTCTCTTCTTCATCTCTCTTTTATGGTTCATTATCAAACCTTATTTCCATTCTAAGGCGAGAAAGCTACCGCCTGGTCCTACTGGCCTCCCAATAATTGGGTCACTGCTAAAGCTAGGTTCTAAACCAAACCAATCATTAGCCGAGCTAGCCAAAATCCATGGCCCGCTCATGACTCTAAAACTCGGCTCAGTCACAACCATAGTTGCCTCCTCGGCCGAAATAGCCAAAGAAATCCTCCATAAACACGATGAAACATTCTCAGCACGCATTGTTCCCGTTGCTGTTGCTGCCCAGCCGAACCCAGAAGCAACCCTAGCATGGGTCAACGGCGATCATTTGTGGAAGAAAAAGAGAAGATTTCTTAGCACGCAAATGTTCACTAACCAAAGACTCGATTCGCTCCAAGAACTCCGTCACCAAAAGGCTGCACAACTAGTGAGTCACATAAGGCAGCAAAGTCAAAGCGGTGCAGCTGTTGACATAGGACGTGTTGCTTTTGCAACGACGTTGAATTTAATATCGAATACCGTTTTCTCGATTGACATGGTGGATCCTGAATTCAAGAAGGCTCATGAATTCAAGGAATTGGTTTGGACAATTATGGAGGATGCTGGGGTACCTAACTTGTCTGATTATTTTCCGGTTCTAAAGCGGTTTGATTTGCAAGGAGTGAAGCGTCGTATAGAGCCAGCGTATTTAAGGTTGCATGAAATATTTGACCAAGTAATTGAGAAGAGACTAGAAGCTAGAGCCAAAGGGGTGCCGAAGACAGGTGATTTCTTGGATGTACTACTTGATCAATTTGAAGAAGCTGATGTGACAGGATTTGGCAAAGAGATCAAGCCTCTTATGGTGGTAAGTGCTTCTTCTTTTTTCTTTTTTCCTTTAAAATTTTAATTGAAATTCACCTTATATTCAACTGATCATACATAGCAATTTAAATTATATATAAAATCATTATTTTTTACACCACTAAATTAGTTGGATATTATAGGTAAGCCTTAGTAGAATTTATAATCTTGAAAATAAGACACGTTATCTATTACAATATGTAATTATAATTTGGTGTAAAAATTCCATATACTAAGAATGTATATCTTAAACTCAGAAAATATTACTTATTTTTGTATTTTCTTTGGATGCGAGGGGAAAATGTTATCTAACGTCGAATTTGCTATATCTTCTATATATATTGTTTAAATTTATAATCTTAAATTTCCTTTTTACTCTATTTGGTACTCCTTACACTTCAATTTATTTAAACCTATTTTCTTTTCAGTCAGTTTGCAATAGAGTGTTTCCTTTATAAATTTAAAAATAATTTAATTTGAACTTATAATCTTATCATGATGACAAGCTTTTAGATCAAAAGTTCTAAAAGTCAGGTAGTTACACAAATATTATATTATATTTAATATCACAAGTTTAAATTTTTTTTGTTTCTTTCTTAAACTCCAACTCTGGCAAATAGGTTTACATAAGTTGAAATGGAAGGAATAAAATATTTTAAGTCAACGTGGGCATAGTTCATGAAGCTATATATCACTCTGTTAAAAATGGGAAAACATACTTTTAGGGATCATTTGGTTGGAAACAAGTTATGTAAGGATTATAATGCAAATATTAACTTTGCAAGGATTGGAATGTAGAATTTTTTTTTTTTTTAATCAGGCGTTTTAAACTTTATATTAGAAAGGGAATATCGAGGAGAGAATTTAAATATGATCGAAGTTTGTCAATGTCTGATTCTTTAACGAAGTAGTAAAATTGAAATGGTATTGATGATCGATTTGTGAAAAAGATAAAGAATAATTATGTCTTTTGATATTGATTTAAATCTAAAAAATCTTTTAGTTTTCTAATCAAAACTTTCGCATATGGAATAAGTATAACAAAACCGTCAGAGTTGAATAATAAGTGCAATATACATAAACAATTTCAGGTTCATCAATTATTAGCATACATAGCCGTCAGAGTTGAAAAAGAAGAGCAATAATACATAAGCAATTTCAGATTCATCACATTATTAGCATACATAGCCGTCAGAGCTGAAAAATAAGAGCAATAATACATAATAATACATAAGCAATTTCATATTCATTAGATTGTTACCCTACATAACCGTCAGATCTGAAAAATAAGTGCGAATAAGCTAGTGTTTGGACATTAATTTAGTTGAAACTAGAAAAGGAAATTTTTGAAATTATGATAAAAAATAATTTTTAAAAGTTGACGTTGTGTTACATGCATTTTATTTGGAAAAAAAAAGTTGAAATTTTGTGAGTGGAAGAAAAAATTTCAGAGCTTGAAAACTCAATTTTTTTTTTTCAAAAACTGATCATATTCCATGAACAAATATTGTTATTTAATTTCTTTTTTCAAAACAGTCAAAATCTATGGCTAAACGAGACAATAACTTAGAAAACAGATCACATATGACGTACTAGTAAATCTTAACCTATTATCTAAAAATGTACGCAATTAATTTGTTTTCGCAAATCAAACTAGTCTAATATTATAAAAGTAAATTTACTAACGTAACAAATATAATTTAACCAGTAAGGGAATTACTAGTTTTCAACCGTTCAAAATTACGAGATTATTAAATACAAACCCTTTTGCTAAGCAAAATATATATGATGTTAATAAGTTGTTGCATGTGTGTGCCATGACATGACGACAGGATTTATTCATTGCCGGAAGTGACACATCTGCTATAACAACAGAATGGGCAATGGCAGAACTTCTTCGAAAACCTCAAGTACTTAACAAAGTACGAGAAGAAATACTTAAACAAATAGGCACAGAAAGACCAGTGAAAGAATCAGACATTGACAAACTTCCATACCTTCAAGCAGTTGTAAAAGAAGCAATGAGACTTCATCCAGCAGTTTCATTACTCTTACCACACAAAGCCCAAAATGATATAGAAGTGTTGGGCTACACTGTGCCAAAGAACACTCAAGTTCTCGTGAATGCTTGGGCAATCGGAAGAGATCCAAAATCCTGGGAAAAGCCACTAGAATTTATGCCTGAAAGATTCATTGAGTCTAGTGTGGATTACAAAGGTAGGGACTTTGAGTTTATTCCGTTTGGCGCGGGCCGAAGAATTTGTCCTGGATTGCCACTAGCTATAAGGATGGTCAATTTGATGTTGGCTTCTATTATTCAACCATTTAGTTGGAAGCTACCTGATGGAATGGCACCAGAGAAATTGAACATGGAGGAACAGTTTGGAGTTAGCTTGAGGAAGGCTGTTCCTCTCGTTGCCATTCCTATTATGGAAGAAAACTAGGTTATTGTTTAGTCTATATAATGTGATTTGCCACTTCTTTATTTCTTTTTAATAACCTTACGAGACTGTTTCTTTGAGCTTTGTGATTGTGAGAAGTATTATATATAGGTAAGGTTTGAGTGTTTTGGAGACGGGAAACTTGAAACTAATAACGAACTTCAACATCTTGATCAATATTTTTATGGCTCATTAATTAGGTGAGTTCCAGTTGCCACTTTGATTTGTGTCCGATGGGGATCATACTGAATTGTAGCATATGCTTAGAATTTCTATTTTACTTTCACCATATATTCGCCTTTTTTGTTTAAATTTCTTCTTATGTCTTGATTCACAACTTGTTGTATGGGTCAAAATCCGTCTAATAAATTTCTTCTTATCTTACTTGAATGCTATTTATTGTTGTTATTTGCTATTAAATGCTACATTATTGCTCATACATTTTGAAATAGTTATTGCATGTTGCTATCATTCTTCCACCAGATCTACCTAATGTTAATCACATTTTCGAAACTCACATCTAGAAATATTATTGTTAACTAGATTTAACCCCGTATCATATAAATTTAATTATTTGAACCAAGGATTATATATTTTTGGTCAAACAATTTGGCACTGTCTCTGGGGATTTCCTAGTTTAGTTTCTTCTAGATCTATCACTAATACGGATCACTAACGTAAAAAAAGAATAATAACAATAATAAAATAAAAATAAAAAGAGGAAAGAACAAGATCTTCTTTCTTCGTGTGTACAAATCCCAACATGGCAGGTAACAGGGAAGAAAGGACGAGAATAATAAGTGACCTCCCAACCAACCTCATGAACATCGTCAACGAAAGTTGTGAAACAGCAGACGGAGACGCGACGCCCAATGCCTCCCCGAAGAGAGATGAGTCACCTCCTCCTCACTGCAGCATTACAAAATCTCTTGGTAAGGGTTCCTCCACATCTGTGGCGGAGGAGACTCCCCAGCCGTAAAATGCTCCCTGAGGCATGGCTAACTGACACATTAACCAGCGTCCTCCATAAGCCCGCTCGGGACACGGCTACAGAAAATGCAAGAGCTCGCATTATACAACCAGCGGACGAGCAGCACAACCAACTCCCTCCTCTTCCAACGGCAGGCATTACTCACAATCTCGTTAATAGTGCAGGCGACGACACTCTCACAGCCATTCTGAAAAGAATGGAGGAAATGGAGAATGAGAACATAGCGCTCCGGGAACAAATAAGAGAGCACCAAGAAAGGGTTGATAAGATACCGGGCGCCCCTAAACTCTTACCGAAGAGAGATGCCCGCCAGTTCGTCGAGCAGCCATATAGCGATGACACCGCCCCACATGCCATACCAAAAACCTTTAAAATGCCGCCCTACCTCAGGATATATGACGGCACGACCGACCCTGAAGATCATGTGACTCACTACATCACCGCCGTGAAAGGAAATGACCTCGCCAAAGAACAAGTATCTTCCATTTTGTTGAAAAAATTCGGTGAAACCCTCACAGGAGGAGCGTTGACATGGTATTCGCAACTACCTACGCGTTCCATCGAAACTTTCGAAGAGATGGCTGACAAGTTCGTAACGGCCCATGCTGGGTCCAAGATGGCCGAGGCAAGAGTGAACGATATATTTTCTATTAAATATTCCTCGGGAGAGGGATTGAGGAACTTCCTCGCCTGGTTCAACCGAGTAAGCATGGCCCTGCCGAACGTGTCAGAAGGGACGGCGGTCCCAACCTTTCAAAACGGGCTGAGCAGGAGTGGTTTGAAGGCGACCAGGAAGTTATTATGTCGACTGATGAAGTACTCCCCAACCACCTAGGATGAAATACACAACGCATATTGTGCCGAGGTCCGAGCATATGAGGATGACCTCAATGGACCAACTCATCGACTCTCCTCGGTAAAAGCCGAACCCAGAAATGATCGAAGAAATGATACCAGAAGAGACCTCGCAGCTCCGCAACCTAACAGGAAACAACACCAACCGTATATCATAGCAGCCGTTGCATCCTCCTCTCGCTACGAAGAAGGCCTGCCTAAACCGAGGACAGGGACTCATCGGAATGAAAGAGGTATTCCACCTTTATTATCTGCTCACAATTTTTGTGTTCACCTACAGAGATAGTCTACGCCCTGGAGAAGCTCGAACCAAAGGTGAACTGGCCATAGAAGGTGAGATCAGATCCGAGTACTAGAGAGTCAGACGCCCTCTGCAAGTTCCACCAAGAACGAGGGCACAAAACCGACGATTACATCGCCCTAAGGCAGGAGGTCGTGCAAATGTTACGACAAGGACACCTCAAAGAGTTGCTGAGCGACCGAGGAAAAACCCACTTTGCTAGAGGCCGCGAACGACATCAAGGATCGCTAAAACTTCCCTTACCAACTCGCACCATTCACATAATCATCAGTGGCGGCGACGACGCTTCCATCAACAGCGTGAAGTTCACCACTACCCATAAGCTCAAATGGTCGATCACCCGCGAACGGTATGACGAACTTGAAGAGAGTATCATCTTCGATAAGTCGGATACCAACAATTTGGCTTTTCTTCACTATGATGCCCTTGTTATTACATTACGAATTTTAGATACCGATGTGAGACACATTATGGTGGACGATGAGAGCGGCGCGTGCATTATCCATGCTTGAGTACTTGCACAAATAAAACTCGAAGATAAGATAGTGTCGCGTTGCATCACGCTAACTGGTTTTAACAATGCAGTCGAGCGAACATCTGGTGAAATCACACTCCCCTTTCTGGCCGGTGGTGTCACTCTGGAAACCACGTTCCACATCATGGACCAAGACACAACGTACAACGCCATAATAGGGCGACCATGGATACACACCATGAGGGCCATCCCTTCCAACTTATACCAGGTCATCAAGTTCCTGACTCCATGGGTAATATTTAGCATACAAGGGGAACAACGCACATCACGGGAGTGGTACCGCATCGCCCTGGACAGCGGGGTCACTCAACAAATAAAGGACAAAGAAAAAGAGGCATAACAATCAACAAGGTCGCGGTCGATATGTGACGATTGTGAGGATCTCATCAGAGACCCCGATATGGTCGAAGCTACAGGATCGACCATCGAAGACCTAGACCCCATTCAATTAGACCTCAACACCATAGCAAGAAATCCTACATCGGCTGCAAACTTCAGGAACCAAGTAAATTCCGTCAATTCTTAACTACTAACGCATATTTGTTTACTTTCAGCCACGTAGACATGACAGGTATCCCAAAAGAAATCGCCACGCACAAACTGAACAACGACCCATTCCACCCCCTAGTGAGACAAGTCAGATGTAAGTTTAAATCCGCAATCAATGATGCGGTATGTGAAGAGGTAGAAAAACTGTTGGAAAATGGCTCCATCAGGGAATTGAAGTACCCCCCTGTAGGTCGCCAACATGGTCATGGTTAAATAGAAGAATGGGAAATGGCGGATGTGTGTGAATTTCACCGATTTATACAAAGCATGCCCAAAGGATTCGTTTCCATTACCCTATATCGACCAACTCATCGATGCAACAGCCGGGCACGAATTGCTGAGCTTCTTGGACGCTTATTCAGGTTAAAATCAATTCTTCATGGAGGAAGAGGATCAAGAAAAAACCAACTTCATCACCCATCAAGGGACGTATTGCTACAGTGTCATGCCCTTCGGGTTAAAAAACCGCAGGGGAACTTACCAAAGGTCTGTGACGAGGATGTTCAAGGACCAACTCGGAAAAACGATGGAAGTTTATACAGACGACATGCTGGTCAAGTCCAAAAGGAAAGAAGATCACATCGACCATCTGAGAGAAGCTTTCGACATACTCAGGCGATATGAAATGAAGCTGAACCCCGAAAAGCATGTGTTTTGCGTGGCCTCAGGAAAGTTTCTAGGTTTCCTAGTATCACAAAGAGGGATCGAGGTCAACCTTGACCAAATCAAAGCCATCGAGGGGATACCGGAACACTTGACCACTAAAAAATAGGTTCATAGGTTGATCGGCCGGATCACCGCCCTATCAAGGTTCATTTTACGATCATCGGATAGATGTCACAAATTATTTGCCGTACTCAAGAATGAAAATAGCCTCTAATGGACTCCGGAAGGCGTCAAAACCCTGAAGGAATTAAAAGCATACTTGTCATCGCTGCCACTGCTTTAAAAACCAGAACCAGGAGAATGTCTCCTTGTTTACCTCGCTGTACCCGAAGTAGCTGTGAGTGCAGTCCTAGTTCGAGAAAACAAAGGTACGCAATCCTCCATCTATTATATTAGCAAAACATTAGTCGACACTATGACGAGGTATACTCACCTCGAAAAGTTGGCCCTGGCCTTAGTCGTAGCTTCACGAAAGCTTAGATCGTATTTCCAATGCCACCCCATCTCGATCGTCACGACTTCCCCCCTGAGAAGCATTTTGCATAAACCCGAGCTATCGGGAAGGCTGGCCAAATAGGCCATCAAGCTGAGCGAGCACGATATCACGTACCAGCAGCGAACAACGATAAAAGTCACAAGTGCTCGCAAACTTCGTTGCCGACTTCAGTGCGAAAGTAATGCCCGAAGTTGAAAGAGAAGCCGCTCAAACTTTCCCCCCAAACATAAGATCTCTGGGTCCTATACACCGATGGAGCATCTAACGCGTCAAGGGCCGGACTTGGACTCGTACTCAAAGTCCCAACAGGCGAAGTAATTCTCCAGTCCATAAGGTGCCCGGATATGATTAACAACGAGGCCGAGTATGAGGCCGTAATTGTAGATTTGAGACTAGCAATCAAGCACGGGGCAAGACGGTTAAAACTACGCTGTGATTCCCAACTCGTAGTCATCCAAGTCACATGGACTTACCAAATCAAAGAACAAAGATTGCAAAAATATCAGACTGAAATCTGGAAGCTGCTGCCCAAGTTCGACGAATGTCAACTCAACCAAATTCCCCGGGCGCACAACGCTGAGGCTGACAGCCTTGCTAAATTGGCTACAACTACCAAAAGCGTCGCAACCGGAGAAAAGAACATAGTCCACCTCCTCAACTAATCTCTTGATCAAATTGAGGTAAGAACCGTAAGTTTAACTTGGGACTGGTGCAACCGTATTATTACATATTTGCAGGACGGCACACTCCAGATGATAAGAAAGAAGCCAAGAAACTGAGAATGCAAGCGGCATGGTAAAATATCATCCACAACGATCTGTATAAGAGGACTTACGACGGCCCTCTGGCAAAATGCCTGGGCCCAAATAAGACGCAGCGCGTCCTCGAAAAGGACCCCGAGGGCTAATGTGGAGCTCATTCCGGCGATTGGGCTCTGGTCAGATGCCTCATAGGGGCGGGATATTACTGGCCCACCATGAAAAATGAG